AACCCAAGGACAGGTAGCTATGACTCAGATCCAGCTCAGCACCAGTGAGTTTGCTTTTGTTTGACCATTAATAAAGTATGGAAGACTGCAGGTCTAAGTATGATTCTACTTTGGAGAACTGATTCTATGATCTAAATCATAACTATCCATTCACATTACATCATCTTTAAAAAGGATAAGAATATATCATCCAAGTTGTTAAACCCAAACAAGAAAAAAATGGTGGCAGAGCATGATGCCAGTCTTCAAATATCTGAAGAGCTGAGAAAGGCAAACCTTTTTCTGCAGTAGGTGGAATAGACACCTGGTCATAAGTGATGGGAGGCAGCCTTGGTTCTGTTGCTGATTTTGTGCCTGTTACTGATTTGTGACATAGGAAACCCCATGTGTTAACAAAATAGAAGTGCTCCATAGGGTTTCCTTGACTGCCTATTTATTTCTTCCTCCACGCTGCTGAGTGGGTTCAAACTGCCCACCTGTTTGTTACCAGGCGAGTGCAAACTGTGTGCGCCACCCAGGGATCCTGAGACAGTCTTGTCTCACTATGAAGCACCTTCTGGCAGTGAGTGCTGTTGGGTAATGGGAGAGCTGTTATGTGAGACCAGGCTGAGGAACACCCAGCAGGTGCTGCTGAGTGTATTTCTGCACTGAGTGGGATTACAGGAGGGGACCCTGAAATTGCCCAATCCACCTTGAAATTCAATTTCTGTGATCCACATACTATTTTTTTTTTAGGATGGACTTATTAGGTACCTTAGATTCCTTAACAGGATAAAGTGGGACACAGATACAATGTAGAAGGTAGCAGTTCATTCCCTCTTGGATGTACATTATTTCTGATGATAACAGAATGGAGTCTGAGTCAAGCTTACCTGCTGTCTGTTGTGTCTGAACACCATCTACCTGAGGCAGAGGCCCAAGTTTTCCTTCATCATCAAAGGCCAAAATTGGATTCAAAGGGATTTCTGGGCTCTCACTGTTGGTGACATCTAATCTGGATGGTTTAGATCCAATGGGTAAGTTTATAATTTCTTCAAAATTTTCATTCTGTACAGATATTCCATTTTCATTTGGTTGGTTTTCCACGTTGGGAGTACTGGGGAAGTTTAAACATAAAAATTAAAATGAGCTAATATTAAACTTTGAAAACACATTTAGGACAATCAAAAATTTTGTAAGTAATTATCTATAGCTTTACAATCCAAATGTCAGACTGATTGTCATATCATTACTAACAAAAATGGTGAATTCTAGCATATTTGTATTTTAAATTCTTATTTTGAAAAAAAA